ATCCCTGGGTGGGTGGATTTTAATATAAGAGTCCTGTCCAAGACCCATACTTTGTAGACTCTTATTCTCTACATTTTGGCCATTTGTAACATTTTGCTTTTTGGACCCTGTGTTGCATGAGGGAGCTTCATTGATGAGAATTGATTCATTAGTGTTCTCCTTATTCCTTATTCTATGTTCTGCGAGTCTTAGATGTAGAGTTTGCATCCTAGATATGCCACTTAGGCTTGGAAAATTCACAGACAATCTCTGTGTATGACCAGTTGTGAAACTTTGTAATAATCCTATCTGTTGAAATGGAAGCGTCTTTGATGGGTGGTAGCTAGGATACTTATCTGCAAATTAAGGGGATAAAGGGAAAGAAGGAGCTCAAGAGAGGTGGGACTATAGCAGACAGGAATTATCAAGGGAGAAATGGGGAAAATGAGGCTACTTTAAATGGGGAGGGTGTGGAGGGAAAGTCAGACAGGGAGAGAGAAGAGAGACAGATTATGCTAGTATTAAAAAACCAGAGAGAATCATATTAATCCAAAAACTTACTGAAAAATTATACATACAATATATCTACAAAATCCATGTATATAACTGAAGGCTACTTAACAAGAAACAGTACCAGACAGGAGAACTCTTCCTTTGAGTCGTTGGCCAGGGTAGTCCAAGAGACTCCCAAAATTACACAGGCTATTGCAACAGTCCTTAATTCCCTCCTGAACTTGAAAGTAAGACCCTATTGCTGAAGACAGGACATATTTCAGACACAGGATTTGGAGCAATGAAGCTGGAACTGACCTTGAAGGCTAGCTCTCTTAGCTTTAGAGAGTACCATGCAAGCTGGTAAGGGAGAACATCAATTAGTGGTTCAACTCCAGCTTTAAAGCCTAATAACCACATCAATGACCAGCATAGCAAACGACATTGGTACAGTAGTGGCACTTTCATCTGGGTGTTGAGGGGGGGTGTTATCAATACAACAGCTACCTAATTGGACTTGAAGCACGCTCATTGGGAGGAAATTCATATGTGGTATTGTAAACATAGCCAAATACACATAACTGGAGAGATCACAGATCTTAAGAGAAAACCGCAAGGCTGTCATATCCATAGACAAATATAATTTCTTACTATGTGCAAAATATCCTTAAATTTACAGACAAGTATCTCAAGTCACCACCCATCAAAGAAGCTTCTGTTTCAACAGACAAATATTATTACAGAGTTCCACAATTTTTTTGTATGTCTAAAATAAGTTGATCTAGAAAAAATTATCTATGACACCTATGGCAGGGTAAAGTTTTATGATTTCTTGGATCTTAAGAAATTTTCCTTAATCTTCAGTATTAGATTTATGCTTAGTTGTATGTTTTTGAACTGTGTAAAATTGCAGTGTAATCATATCTTTGGCTTCTAAAAAATATTCCTTTGGACATGTTCACCTCTAAAATATGATGTGCATTTATTTCAGTTTCATTCATGTACTTCATTCATGGCGTTTTGAAATTTAGACTTTCCACCTTGGAATTACCACCCACATTCATGACTTAGATATTTATGATACTGTTTAGGGAGCTCATAAAAAAGTTTTGTAAAGGCAGTTTTAGTGTAAGCTTAATCTTTTCACCCATAACAGGATTTAAATTGACTGTGTGTTTATCTGTACTTGAGTTTCACTGCTTTTATAAACAAATCTTAAATAAAAACATCTTAAATGAAAGGGTAAATAATTTGTAAACAGTCGTATAAGACTTTATGGACATATCAACCTCTTAGCAAGCACTTTCCTGGCTACTGTATATGAACTCAATTATTTTTCCACACTGGTACCTGTGGTCATGCATATGCGCGCGCGTGCGCGCGCGCGCGCGCACACACACACACACACACACACACACACACACACACACACACAGAGGCACTTCTTTCTTTACTCACCTTTAATTGTCCTCTTATGCTATACATTACTGACTGACTTTTTTCCCCTGGTTTTAGAATTTTGTTCTTCATTTTTGTGGAAATGTTTTTGGTAGCTTTGTCTCTGCTCTATTCCTTTACTCTGGTACATGACATATAGTAGGTTAACAACAGATGTTTAGTAAATGAGTCATCAAGCAAGTGAAGACTATATTCACTTTTGGCATTTGATGTTAATGTAAATGAGACAAAACAGGAATCCTTTTCAGTGTTTAAAACAAACAAAAATTACTTGGTAGAATAAAAGGTAAACCTTCTGGAAGAGAAATTGGAGAGAAGTCCAACTTACCCTGATGGCTCCCCAAAATTATTTATTTTTATGTTTATGAGTGTTTTGCCTGCATACATATAAATGTACCATGTGGTGGAGTGCCCATATAGGTCAGAAGAGGGCGTAGATACCCTGGACCTGGAATTACAGATGGTTAGATGCCATGTGGGTGCTGGAATCAAACCTAGGTCTCTCTGCAAGAGCAGCGAATGCTCTTAACTGCTGAGCTATCTCTCTAGTCCCCTGGTGGCTTTTTCAGAAACAGATATGTAAGTAGCACTAGTAAACCTTCTTATGGGTTTATAGAAGCCGAATGATGATCATGCTGCCTTGAGTTTTGAGGATCATGGTATGATATGCAAAAGACAGCTGCCATTGTGCATATCCTTTCAAATTGTTTGGGAAGAGCTTAAAGTTGGGAAATCAGGAACTGTGATGGGTATTTATTTAGAAGTCAGTTAGGAAGTGGGATTGGGAGAAATTTCAGTCAGTCCTCTCAGAATGCATTTGTATTAGGAAAAAATATAAAACCTTTTTCAATTTGAAAATTATTTTATTAAAATTATTGCTACAGAAGAAGACTGTGTTAGGCAGAGCAAAAGTTGTGTATGTCTCACACCGAAAGAAATAAAGGAATGCAATTTAACTGACTTATCTATATGCCTGTGAAGTCAAGCCTGACATGAAATCAGGGGTTTCAGACTGTAACTTTTCTAAATATTTCAGCTGTTTGCCATTTTGTGGTTTTTCTTTTTCATTTTTTTGACTTTTTGTGAATCTCATGCAATATATTTTGCTCTTATTTATACTGTCTTCTCTGTCCCTCTACCCCTCACTTAATACCTCCCACCTGATTCTGTGTACTCTGTTTATATATATTAAGGCCTATATTGTCAGGGTCTGTCTGTAGCCCCAAATGGTCTGGAACTCACTATGGAAACCAGTCTAGCCTCTATTTCACAGAGGTCTGCCTTCCTCTGCCTCCTGAGTGCTAAGATTTTTTAAAGGTGGCAACACCAAGCCTAACTTATGTATAATACCTTTAAATAGGTTTTAGATTAGATTATAATACCTTTAATTAGGTTTAGATATAATACCTTTAAATAGGTTTTAGATTCCATGTCTTTTACATATTGGCCTTCCTTCTTCCTATGTTTACTTTGTTCATGCTTTATAGCAGGCTTTGCCTATTTTAAAGCTCTGCATTGTTGTTAAACATGCTCATCAATATATTAGTTTTAGAGTGTCTGCTGGTTTGGAATGTGAAATAATTCTAAGGACTATCAGTTTACAGTCAAAGTACTTGAAGTGTACCATTTTAGTTTCTCAGTGTCAGGAGACCCCTTTAAGGATGGCCCTCTCTCTGTTTGCTCCAGGTCTCCTGGTCTGTTTTTTTCTCTGAGTTTCTCAGTATGATTATGTTTTTGCATATGCTCATTTTTTTTTCTGTTGAGGACTTATCATCTACTTTGCCCATTTTGGACTCGCTTAGGCCTAGCTCTTTCTTAAGATCTCTATTCAATTTCTGCTTCTTCAGGGGAGCTGTCTCTGAAGCTACTTCTTTTCCTTCTCTCCCCAGTCAAGTTGGTTAAGTAGCTTTATTTATATTTTTTCATAGTTTCCAGTATTTTTCTTCCATCTCTCTCATGACAGTGCACATCTAAAGAGCCTGTCTTTACCACTTGACAATAATTTCTAGAATTGCTTATCATATTATCTTCTGGCTGCTTATCATATTATCTTCAGGTATTAACATTGTCTGATGTGTAAGGAATATTTGTTATGATTTGATGGATAAGTGAAGAAGTGAATGGACGTTTCTGATAAATGGTCAAGGGTATGAATGTATTTGACAGATAAAGAGTAAGTTAATACATTCTAGCTGCTTCATCTTGTTTCTCTCCATATTCCCTTCTTTTCATCAAGTAACTACCCTGGTAGAGAATATCTGTCAATGTCTTCCTCTCCTAGTTCTGATTACTGTTAGAATTACTAATTACTGTTGAATTACTTTTTTTCACTGGACTTTCATTTTTGTTTCTTGTTCTGGCTATACTCTTAAGAGACATGAAATGATATGTCAACCTTCATTATCCTCTGCAGGACTTATCACTCTCAGCTCCCCTGGCATATCTATGATTGTGCCCTTTCTATCGAAACCTTAGTCTTTCTGTTCTGTGTTGTTTATAAATCCTGAGAGTAAAGGGACTGACTGCATTTTTGTTCTAGACTATCTTTACAAAGATGTCTATATAGTGAATAGCTGTTGACAATAAGATATATTGTCTCCTTCTGGAAAAAAAGGCTTACTGTCCATCCTAAAACATTGGGCTCCTCCACTCAGGGTTCATCTAGTATGTAATTCTTGGTATGTACATACATCCATTTGGACATACCTTTGTGTCTTCATGTCCCTGGAACTTGGGAACAGAGGGTGCTGTGCTGATACTGAAGTTGTACTTCCTATGTGGTAACTAAGTCTTTAGTCTCTGACTAGGAAGTCTTGTCTTCTGCAGCATTCATAAAATGGTGGTTCATGAGATTGGTCCTTCATCGTGCTTGACACCAGAATAATGTTCTTTTTCTTGGTACTTTTGGTTCTGTTTTATTGACTCCCTGCCTGCATGTTTCTCTTTTTTGTTCCTTCAGTATAGGTCATTTTGTTTATTTTCATTTATGTGTGTGGTAGGGGTGGTTTATGTGCATGTGTGTGTTTTGTTGCATTGGATGTCTTCATTTGTTCTCCACCTTAATTTTATTTTAAAATATGAAACGCTTCATGAATTTTTATACCATTCTTGCATAGGGACCATGCTACTCTTTCCTGTATACTTCCAATGTTAGTACATATGCTGTTATAACAAGTATATGAACCTTACTTTTGAGACAGAATATCTCACTGAACCCTGAGCTCACTGATTTGGATATACTGACTGGCCAGCAAGTTCATGGTATTTGCCTGTTGTCTGCTACTCAACACTGTCACACTTGGTCATTCCTGGCTTTTACATGAGTGATGGGGATTTGAAATGAGCTCATCTTGGTTTCATAGGAAGTGCTCTTTTTCTACTGAGTCACCTCTCTATCCTCAAGAATAGGCCATTATTTAAAAGTTCATTTTGTGTGTGTGTGTGTGCTTATGTTTACATGAGTGCAGGTGCCCTCAGAGGCCAAAAGAATTGGGCTCATTGGGTTCTCCAGAGGTGGAGGTACAAGGACTTTGTGAGCCACCAAATATAGGTGCTGGGAACCAAGATTAGGTACTCTGCAAGAGCAGTATATATTCTTAACTGCTGAGTCTCAAGAATAGGCCACTTTAAGATGACATTATTGCATGACATGGGTGCACTCACATAAATGCAGGCAATACAGTCATACACATAAAATAAAAATAATACATTTTTTTTTTTTAAAAAGATGACATTATTACTCCCCTTCTTTCTGTTTGGGTAATCTAATCATCACTTCTGTTTTTGCCAAATAGCTATGGGTTTGCATCTCTGTGTCCACTTTTTTTCCTTTTGAGATGCAGACTCTTAATTTCAGCCTTACCATTTTCCTAAGAATATTTTAAAGATGCTAGGCATTTTTAAACTCAGTGTAACATTTCTTTCCTATTTTATACTCTGTTCATTAATTTAACAAGGCACCCTTTCTTTCTTACTGTTGGCAATGTTAGCACCAACTCAATGTCTCCTTCTTTCTCTACAGTTGTTCCACAAAAGCTTTCTTATTTTAAGCCAGGCATGTGGTGCACACCTTTAATCCCAGCACTCAGGAGGCAGAGGCAGGTAGATCTAGGTCTCTGGGATCTACATCAGCCTGGTCTCCAGAGGGAGCCCCAGCTGGGGCTCCAGAAAGACCCTCTCTCGAAAAGGACCTGCCGCACAACCATTGAATGTGATAAATTTGCTTCAGTCCCAGTCCCGTATCATTCAATTTCATTGTCACACTTAGTTCCTTTACATGTTTAAAACGCTCTCTTTTTACAACAGTGCCCCAATTCTCACACAATATGTAGCTGCTGCCCCATTCATAAGAGTGTCTTTTAGTTACGATTTGGTTTTAGTTTGTATGTTACCGGAAACAATGCATCTTCTGTCACACAAAGTACTGTTAAGACAGTTTTCCATATTTTATATATCTACATTAGTTAATGAACTTACATAAAGATCTTTATATTTAATTTTTTGGAATTTTACCTAATTTGCTTTGGTCCATTCATAAAAAAGATTTCTTTTAATGTCTCTAGTTGACTGTAATTATTGGTATGAGTTGAATGACATGCTTTTTTAGTTTTAAATGCAGGACCTCATAGTGTAGCCCAGCCCAAGACCTGATTTGAGATTATTTGGTTTGACCTCATCCACCCTGAGTGCTAGGATTACAGTGCTGTCTTACACACACACACACACACACACACACACACACACCTTTTAAAAATCATTTAGTACTCAAAGAAACATTTTTATCCTAGGTTTATACAGATAGAATTAGGTGATTATAATGATATTTTAAAATAATGAAAAAATAAATGTCCCTGTTAACATAATCTTTAAAATTTTAAAAATGCTCTATTTTTATTTCCGTGCATGAATGTTTTACTTGCATGTATGTAAGTGCACTGCATGTGTGCAGTGCCTGTGGAGGCCAGAAGAGAGCATTGGAGTCCCTAGAACTGAAGTTATAGATTTTTTTTGTTGTTGTCATGTGGGTGCTGGGAACTCTAGAAGAGTAACCAAGGTGCTTAACTGCTGGGGCATCTCTCTAGTTCCCCTAACTTAATTATTAAATATATTGTCAACTTAAGGCATCTTCTTATTACCTAGTATAATTAATTTCACAAAGCATAAGGATTTAAACTTTATTAGGGTTTCAGGAATTGAAATAATTTAATGTTTTGCTCAACAAATATGGAGAAGTTGTCATTGTTAGTGGAAAGTCACAGTTTCATTTCTAGTCTCAGGAAATTTATTTCAGTTGGGTTTTAGAGGGTTTTTTTTTTTTTTTTTTTTTTTTTTTTTGATTAAGGCATACCAGAAAAGAGACACAATTCAAAGTTTTTTGGTGAGAATGTGCTAAGGAGATCTAAAAATGAAAACAGTGTTTTACATCATAAGCCTCAATTTATAAGGAATGTCTTTTTTGTTTCACAAAATTCTCCTCATGATATAAAATTAAGTGAATTGCCTTGAAGTTGTGTTTTTAGTGTTTTTGACAGGACACATGAATAGGAATGCTTATATATTGTAGCAATTAAAGACAATTCACATTTGTGGTTTGGGCATGAATGTGTAAAGATTATACCCATCTATCTTATTACATTTCCTCTCTCCTCCCTGAGGACTTTACTATGTACTTTATCTAATTGTTGCCAGTTTTCTATCATGTTCCCACTGGGCTTCTGGTGCAAAAAATCTTATCCTCTTGATGACAGAGCTTGCCTGAATGATTTCATGCTCCCAGCATTTTTGTTCACAGGAATTAGGGGCAAAATGTAACTACAGCTGAACAGAGCGTCTATTTTTGTGATTTTGGAGTTTGGGCCCTGTTATTGGAACTAAATGAAGAGATGCAGGTGTTCTCTAGTTCAAGCCCTTTGGGAGTTTTGATAGTAGATGCTTGAAAAGAAAATGCATGTGTTTCCAGAGTCAAATAGCAGCTGTGAGACAAGGATTTATGTTTTTCTCAGAACTTCGGGATTTCAAAATGTTACATTTAATCACAAGCACAGAAAGGGGAGCAAATGTTAAAGATGTTAGGCATAAAAGTAAGTTTACTGATCTCTTTACCATATAAATTAGTTGTGGGAATATATGAACAAAGTGATTTTTAAGCATGATGTAAATAATTTCTAAAGGATTATGGTAGTTTCAAAATATAGCATTTTAAGAATGTCGCATCTGTAGTATACAGTTTTAAAAAATCCTATTAATTACTGAAAAAAATCCAGTTTTTTCCACTTAGGGAAACACATATGATGTTAGGTTTGGAAAATATTTTCCATATGTAATTTGATTATAGCTTTTTTTTCTGGAAAAACTATTGAATCATAAATATCTTATAAAAGCTATAATATTTTTAAGTGCAAAAATGTAAACATCTATAATCATAATAAAAGATTTTGAAAGATAATCGATGTAGATGGTATATACTTGAGTCTTTATACAAAGCATGTATACATTATATTTATAATGTTTTTTCAGGTCATGAAATTATTTTATATTTTAATTGCTAAAGCACTATTTTTCAGTATTTATTTGCATTCTTATATTTTTATTTTGCTTCATTTTTTTTTTTTTTTTCTGATGCAAACATGTATTTGTTTTATTCACGAAACAGCCTGGTCTCCTCAAACAATACAAACAGCATGTTCATCAGCAGGAAGCTGGCCATGGGGAGGGGCCCCTGGGCACCCACCCCTACTGGCAGGGGACCAGTCAGAGAAGGCTTTTCTTCTGTTGCCATGAGCAAGGCTGAAAAAAGGGACTAATTTTCTCTAAGGGACGTAGCCAGGATCAGAAATATTGAAATGTGGTCCTGGCAGGCATGGTAGTCACTGTGAGATCCAGACTGTCCTCAAATTTAGTAGCAATTCTCCTTCTTCAAGTCTGTGGAGTGCTGGGATTACAGGAATGTGCCACCATGCCTTGGCTATTGTGCTTCTCTTTTAGTATAGTCATTCATTATTTATTCATTTATTCAAAAGTGCATTGTTGCAAAATTCCTGCATATAGAAATATAATTCATTATGGTTATATTAAAAGTTCCAATATTTTGAGAAGACAGACATGCAGATAATAATGACAGAATGAATGAGTCATATCAAGAGGGATTATATTTTGATATTCTAGATTTAACTCTTATTTATTGTAAACTATATTACTTTGAAGAAGTTAACCTCAGTACTATAAAAAATAGATATATTTTCTAGGTATTTTTGTGAAGATCAAATTTAATCTAATAAACTCATCAAGTATTTTGTTAACTGAAACCCGCTGCAAATTCCAAGTATTGTCTTACATAATACACGATATTGTTTATCGGACATTTCAAGTTTTTCTGAGTCTGCTCTTTTCTTTACTTGTACTGTTAATCCCATCTGAGCCCAATTCATTTCAATATTTCGTCAAGTTACTTTATAAACCTGTGAGTCGTGAAGCTGAGGAGCAAGGCTTTACCTAGTTACAGAATGCTTCTTCCACATTTAAATGTCTCCTGGAGCCATGATGCCAGGAGCCAGGAACAGTTTCAATAGCAACAGGAAATTACTTTGCTCCTTTGAAAAGTCCTGGATTCTGGAAAGAAGCCCGGGGGAGAAATCCTATGAGCCTTGTGGGTGATCAGTTGCTTTGTTCATTTATAGCACAAGGTCAAAATTTTGCCATTTTTAAAACTGTTTGCTTAATAAAGTAATATTCAAAGAAAACACTAGTAGTTTCTGTAGTAATAAATTAATGTGCAAAAAATTCTCAGTTTGGAATTGGACTTCTAGTGAGATAAACTATAAAATAACTATAAAAAGCCTAGTAATTAATAATTTATTTAAGGTCTCTTTATGTGGATCAAAAAGCCACCACTATTGCCTGTTTATATTTTAGAAAATGATATAATTATTCAAATCAAGTTTTAGTTTTACAAGTACTGGTTTATGTTCAAGTTCCTGTAACTCTAATCTGGTGATTCTGTCCAGATTTTGAAGTCAGTTGTATAGAAACTTTCTAACAAAACATTTAGGGATGAAATTTGCCTTGATCTTTGCTATTACTTCTCCCTTCTTGTTCCATTCCCTCTACAAGAAGCTCCAATTCAAATATGACCTTTGCATGTCCTTGGGAATAGCCTTACTGTTTACAGGTCTTTGTAAG